ATGGTTGGGTCACAACATGAGGAACTGTATTTAAAGGGCCAGAAGGTTGAGAACCACTGCTATAGAGGCTCAGCACACACTGACTGTACTGAACTGAGCACTTTGGAGAACGAAGAGCTCAAGGGTCTGCTAGATGAGGGCATCCAAGGAGAGCATGCTTGGGCCGTAACATCAGGAAGCAGCAGGAGACAATACTGCATCAACACTCCTCTCCCAGCTCCTGTGGGCACTAAAGATGAACATCAGACAGCACTGACCCCAAAAGGTACCTGTTTAGGGACCACTGGGAGGAAAGGTGGCAGGTGGGTGGGCAGCACGGAGTCACCTAGGTTGTAAACTGGCTCTGCTTGCTTATGCTTGCTGTGTGGCCCTCGGCCACTCTCCTCACCTCTCTGAGCCTCTGTTCCCAAACTCTGTCAATCTACACAGTGTAAGAATCCTAGAGAAGGATCTGTGCCCTCAAGGAACTTGCAGTCTGAGTGGTGGAGAAAATCCAGCTGCGACCCCACTCTCCATGTGTTCCTGCATAGCTCCCTTCCTTCCCCAGGCCTTCTCTTTAAAATGAGGGTTTGCCCTTGCTGGTGCAGCTCTAAAGAAACCAGCATGCTGCAAGGACTGAGATACCGGTACACACATCCTAGGTCAGCAAAAGGGACAGCCCAGTCCGCATGACAGGCAGCTTGCAACATGGCTGGCACACAATGGGTGCTTAATAAAGCCCTGGAACTGTTACCCAATAGGCACTAGAACAGGATACCAGCGATAAGTCACTGGATCCTGAAGAAGCCTGCACCACCACCATGGAGTCAGGCAGGTCTAGCTTCTAAAGCAGCCCCACTACGCAGCCTCTCATTAAAGGACCCATAACTCAGCACCCAGCAGCCAGCCTGGCCTAGCTGCTCCTTGTCTCACAGAGCACAAAGCTCCTTGTGTTCTGCTCATTCTGTTCTTCTAGCCTAGAGCACTAAAGAGCTGAGAGAACCTGCCTTCTTCCCTCACCCTCCTCAGAATGGCCATTCCCACATGGCCCTTCATCCTGTAATTCTTTGAATTACGGCATATTCTGCCTTTAAATTGCTCAGAATGAGGGTTGCCTACCAGCCACTTACACCTTAGTATGAATTTAACTAGCTAATCTTGCTTTTCCTCCCGGAACTAAACTGAAATCAAGGAAATAGGAAAGGGGTGGAGATTTTACAGAGAGGAAGATGGCTGGAGGAGACAGACCTTTAGGGGGAAAGCGTCCCAGGCCCTGAGTTAGGCAAAGAACCCAGAGTGTCAAGGCTCTCCGATTTAAATTTGGGGGTGATATAGATATGAGATGAGAATATTGTGTCAACCATTCAGCAGAGAGCTGAAACAAGACAGTCTCCAGTCTGCCACCCCTGCCCTGCCCACCCCCCGCTGATGAGTTCCTGCCTGCCTGGCTGTGACTGAGCCTCAAAATTCCCACCATTCCTTCTAAAGTGGCCTCAACAACAGGACAGGAAAGTGAAGCGGAGACCTTGGACTGGATAAAAATAGACAGCCCCAACCCAGGCGCTGGATTGTCATTGTGCAAGACAAACAAGGGCAGCTCTGTCGTGGGGCTGCAAACACCCCACTCCGGCAGCACACCCATCCCAAGGCACTGAGAAGGGGCAAGCTCTCACGACAAAGGGAGACAGAGTGGGCTGGGCAGCTTAGGGGCGGAGGCAGTGCTCTGGGTGGTCTGCAAGGTTTGCCTGGTGGTGACATTGAAGAGCACAGAGAATGGGCCTCCAGCCAGCTCCTCACCCCCATCCTTGGTACTAAAATTGGGACTGGCTGCCCCCAGGCTCCTCTGATCACCTATATGGCCCCCCAGGGTGTGTCTCCCAGTAGGGGATGGGTACCCTTGCTGTAGAATGCTAGGCAGGGCCCTCAGGATGGGAGAGTGGGGCAGTCACTGCTCAGGCTCCCATCCCACAATTACCACTTACTAATTTGTGAATTTGGGCAGCTGGCCCAATAATGAGCCTCAGTTTCCTCACCTATAAAATAGGGAGAATCGCATCTGAGTCTCAGGGTTGTGAGAGAGTCAAGGAGATGAAGAATGACCAGCACTTAGCAAAGTGCTAAGTAGTGAGTGTCAATACATGTCAACAGTTGTCACCAACAGCAGTAATATCTGTCCTTGAATATCAGACACCTTGTCCCTGGCCCTGGCCCCAACCCAACACATTCTTCCCCTCACCTTTCTCACCTCGCCTCCCACCCTGCCCTTGGGCACAACCCTGCATTCCATCTTTGCAGGATGACTCCAGCCTTCACCAACCAGAGACCAACACAGCTCTGGGCCTTTTCCCAACCTGAGCCTGTCCTTCAGTGTGACAGCCACCAAGCCCCAAGTCTGTGACCTCCCTGGAGGCAGGGCAGTGCCAGTCCATTAGTCCTCAGACCCTCACAGCACAAGTAAACTGGAAAGCTGAACGGTGAAGTGAAACCTGGCGGGGGGGGGGGGGGGGGGGGGCGACGATGACCACAATGGGGAAAGCCACTGGCCTACTGGGACCACTGGAACTCAGACAAAAGCCCACCAGACCCCCTTCAATCATTCCCCCATCAGATATCCCAAACTTCCTCCCCAGTTCTGTCACCCCTTTAGAATTACAAAGCCACTGGATGCCAAATTTTCTCATGAGAACCATAAAGTTCTGGCCCACGGGAGAGAGCAGCAGGGGCCTGCTCAGTGGCAAGGACCAAAAACTGCTCTGGAATAACTAACAGGGACCCACTGGACCCCAAAGGCAGCCAAACACAATGGCCCAGGGTCTCCAAAGATCCCCCAGCCTCCAAAGGGCGCTCTCTCCTGGGAACCAGATGGGGAGGGGCCTCGAGCAGGTGCTATGGAGTCTGCTCCTTCCTGCTGAGCCGGCTACACACCAGGCCCACTCTGGGAAGACAGAGATCAAGAGACGATGACTGTCCGGCCGCACTGGTTCAGTGGTGGAGCACTGACCTATGAACCAAGAGATCACGGTTTGATTCCAGGTCACAACACATGCCAGGGTTGCCGGCCTGATCCCCAGTAGGGGGCCTGCATGAGGGGGCCTGCAGGAGGCAGCCAATTAAATTAATGAATCTTATTGATGTTTCTCTCTCTCTCTCTCTGTTTCTCTCTCTCCCTCTCTCTCTCTCTCTCTCTCTCTCTCTCTCTCTCTCCCTCTCCCTCTCCCTCTCCCTCTCCCTCTCCCTCTCCCTCTCCCTTCCTCTCTGAAATCAAACATAAATATATATTTTAAAGAAGAGACTATGACTATGAATACACCGTGAACTGTAAGCCATTTCCACACACTGGAGTTTCCACCATTAATGACAGAGGGCAGGGGGATGTCAGAAAATTACCTATCCATCCAACCAATGCTAATGTGATCCACTAAATTAAACCCACTCTGAAGATTGTCCGGGACACAGACACATGCAGTCAGACATACTTTCAATCCTCTTCTTCAGAATTATATGTAGCTTTCATCCCCACAGTCACAGAGGAAAAAGGATGGATTTATCTCTCCCCCCTCCTCTACTCCCTAACATCCAAAATGTTCACTCCTTGTGTTCATCTGGTTAGGAAAAGGCAGCATAACCAAATAGGGCCAAAAGGCAGAGAAGAAAACAAAGTGACCCAATTAGAGGGACCACCAGAAACCAAAAGGCAAGTAATATCCAGAAGACCTAGACCCCAGTACCAACTGTGCCCTGAGTCTCACAAATGTGACCCTCCACAAGTCACTTCCTACTCCAGCTTCTAGTTTCTTTATCCTTGAAACTGATGTAGTCTTACGGTCTCCCATGGTTGTGACGGAACAGAGAATGGATGGGGAAGGGTCTGCAAATGGTAAGTAGCCAGGCAGGCCAGCTTCATGAAGAGTCATGGGGAGAATGAGGCAAGAATGACAGACAGAACTGTGTGTCAATTCAGTTTATTGGGGTACATTCAGCCCTTGCAGAAAAGTAGGGGGTGGGGGGACAAGGCAGAACAGTGGTTAGGAGCACAGTGACAAATGGTTCTGCTATTAGGTGCCCCTGGCCAAGTCCCTTTACTGCTATTCTGAGAGGATACAGATAAAGGGCCCAAGTACAGGCCATGCCCAAAAGTAAACACTGAATAGCTCTGGTCACTGTGGTAGCTATTATGACTTGGGCGTGGGTAGAGGAAAGACCGCTCAGATGCAGACATAAGCCCTCAAGCCAAGATCCAGCCATGCAGCTCCAGCCTGGGGGGCTGTCACCTCATGGAGCATAGGGCCAGGCCACAAGGCCCAGCTGTCCCAAAGGGTCCCACAGACATCCGGCACCCAAGTCCCTCCTGGCCCTCTATGCCCCCAAGTCACCACCAACCTCTTACTTCTTATGGAAAGCTTGACTCAGATATCCTTGGAATGTCCCTATGGCCAACTCTTAATTGCAAGCGGTGGGAGCTCCAAACTAGTGTTCTCTCTGCAAAGGAGCCCCGCCTCCACCGCTCAAGGAAAGACAGGGAAACCACTGGCCTCTGGCAAACTCCCTCCTTACCAGACCCTCCTGAAAGCTTGTTCCACCCACTCCATTTCCCCCCCCTTCTGACCCTTCACATAGCTCCTTCCCCAGAGTGGGGATGGAAGGAGAAACCCATGTAGAGAAATGTATACAAACACATCCATTTGCTGCCTCCCAACAGCTGGGAGAACAGGATCCCTTGCTAAAATGAGAGATGAAGAGCTGTACTGGGCTTTACTCACTTCCACAAGACAAGGTAGAGACAACTGGTTAAAACGTGGATCGACAGACATTTTAGGTTACCATCTTTAGGTCTCATTCTTAACCCCAAGAACACCAGTGATGAAGAGATGGGCAGTCTTCCCATCTAAGGGTTGGGAGGAAAGGGGGAAAGAAAAGGAGTGGGAATATCAAAAGGGCCTCCATCCAGCACCACTCCCACCTGTCCCCCTCTGCAAAGTTCAACGCAACAGCAGCGTGCAAAGAAAAAAAAAAATGCCAACCTGAGAATTCACCCGGAGCAGTGATGAGGGAGTTGGTGGCCTCCGTTTCAGTGTAAGACAATGTGGAATCAGATAGATCTACGGGAGGAAGGAGAAAGAAAACTTAGTTGGCTGTGGGGTGTGCCTCCCGTTCCGGCTTTCTCGTGCATCTGTGTGCACGTGTGTGCACGGAAGTGCTTGCAAAGGGCAGGGTGTCCCTCCCAACTGATGCCACTCTGTAACCCTGTCCCATACTTGTAGGAGACCAGGCCAGCCAGCCCTGGAATTCTTCTGGAAAATGCCAACCACTGCAGCCCTGGCACCTGAAAAAGTTGCAATTGCTCTGACCACAGAAATAACCCAAGTTCAGGGGACTGAGCAAGTAGCAACTTGGAGCCTCGCTGGCTACGGTTAAATTAAGCCCCTAAACAATCCATAGTTGCTATACTTAATTACAACCATTAAAATTCTTGAAGTTGTTCCTTCTTGCTTCCTTCCTTCCTTCCTTCCTTCCTTCCTCCCGCTGGAGCTGGGGAAACTGTTTTAACAAGTTACCAGCCATCCTCCCTCTGTCCTGCTCACACCCCTCTAATTAAGGGCTCAAGCATTTGCTCCCAGATTAACTTTTTTTCCTCTCCCCTCCTCCACTCCCTAACATTCCAACCTGCTCACAGAGCGACTTTCAATGCCTGGACCGCTGTTTTTTTAAGGTGTTCATTTTTGTGTGCGTAGTTTTAAGTACTTCATATGGCGTGCATTATTTGTTTCCCCCGTCTGCAGTGCCGTTAGATGGGAAAAGGAAAATCTTTTGCACGTTTTTTTTTCTTGAACACTGAGCTGCTAGCTTAATAAGCCAATGCCTTTTGGGGCAGGCAGACTTGGAAAATTTTTCCTGGGCCTGTGCCTCCTGCTACCAGCGATAGGGTATTGGTCCCTGTTAAGGGACAGGCCTGTCCAGAAGTCGGAAGAGGCATGTTCTGGGAGGCCTGCAGCACTTTCATCATCTCACTCAGCACAACCCAGGTTTGGTTCAGCTGGTCCCACCTGGCTCAAGAGAGGCACCCAAGCTGGGGATTCCTAAGGCCAAACCATTAGCCTAGGCCTTTGCTAGCTAGGATTCCATTCGATCCTGCAGGATTTTTTTTTTTCCTTTTACCACATGGCTTGGAGAGCGGGAAGATGAAACATTAACCAATTTGGCCTCTTTTTTTTTTTTTTTTTTTTTCATTTCCCACTTGCCAGATGCTGACTGGGTGTTCTGGGTTTTATTTTGTTTTTGGAATCATGTGATCACAGAGGCTTAGAAGTGAACTGACTTTTTGTTTATGAAAAAGCAGCAATGCAAGGAAAAGAAAATAATACAAAAAAATAACTTGGACTATTTATCAGGGCATGAAAAAGTTATCTGCCGGTAAAATGTGTTTGGAGGAAAATAAGGACAGGTGGAAAAATCTCTTTAAAAGAAAAAATAACCTCAACACCTCAGTGGGATCATCTTCTTAAAAGACTGTTCCTTTTAATACTGCATGTTCCCAAAGTGTGCGCCCCGAGTCTCATTATCACAGGCTGAACCCCATTTCTTAGTGAACCACTGTGGAACTAACACAGACAGCTTTGTCACTCCTGGGAAACAAGAGTGACAACAACAGGCAGTTTCTACCTTTTGCAGCTAGTAAGTTCGCATAATGCACTCTGCAAACCCTCACATCCGGTGCTTCTAGTGAGGTCCTAGAAGTCTAAGTGTCTTCGGGCTGTTGTAGAAAAAGAACACTCCCCACCTCCATCACGGCTCCAGCCCCAAGGACAGACCCCGGCTAGAAGTCGGAACCCCCAGATTCAAGTCACACCTCCATTCTTAGCAAAATCAGGGGTCACCAACTTTTTCTACAAAGGGCCCAATAGTATGTGTTTTCAGACCTGCGAGCCACACAATCTCTGCTGCAACTCTTCACCTCTGCCACTGCAGTGTGGGAGCAGCCGCAGACAATGTGGAAACGGGTGAGTGTGGCTGTGTTCTAGAAGAACTTTATTACAAACACTGAAACTGGAATTTCATACAATTTTCACATGTCATGAAACGTTATTCTTCTTTTGATTTTTTTTAACCATCTAAGAAAGTAAAAACCATTCTTAGCTCGCAAGCCATACAAAAACAGATGGTGAGCTGTCGTTTGCAGACCCCTGGGCTGTATGACCACCAGCAAGTGTCACTTCCTCTCTCTAGGCCTCAGTTGTCCCATTCGTGAAATAACCAGGACACCTGTTGACTTCCAAATGGTCACTCTGCAGGGCGAAGCGGCCTCCAGTTTTTGGTGCTTCATCGCAGGCTAACCCACAATTCCTCCGGGCAATGATCCTTGACATTCAAACCGAGTTTACTACTTTACTAAGAACATTTGAGGGTGTGTTTTTTTCCTAATGAAACTAGGGACCCTCTAAGCGACTAGTGTAATGATGTTAGGGAATGCTGAGACAAGCCTGTGAGGGAAGGATGGGGAACCAGCGAGCTGAAAAGGGGGCAGCTCTGGGTTGATGCTCGTTAGCTGGGGGGGCCCTCCCTATCCTTCAGTTTATTTCCCCGTCTATGAAGTGACAGAGTCCAACCAGATGACCTTTCCAGTTCCCCAGAAAACTAAATAAAGCTCCTCCATCCATGGGATGACCGTATGTCAAGAAAAACAACGAGGAACTTGCTATCGTTAAGCCTCTGACTCACACACCATCATGGGACACCCTTGGTCCTCCTGGACAGAGGAGGTCAAACTCCTGGAGGGACCTGGTGGGCACTTGTGGCTCCACAGGAGGGCCTGGAAGGAAAACGGGGCTGGATGCCTGACAGCCGACGACACTGAGACGGGACCTCCCAGAGAATGCTGACACACGCTATTGAGAAGAGCCTTTACCAAAAAACAAAACAAAACAAAACAAAACAAAACACACTTTTTGTGGTCACTTGTGGGAATGTGTTAGCATCACTGCCACGCCATCTGACTTTTAAAGCCTAGCTAAGTCCCATGGGAACTGTCTGGGTCACAAAGCTGTTCTCCTGGTACTATTAAGGCCAAACTCACTCACCGCACCACTAGGATTCTCCACTGGAGGAAACAGGAGGACCAGGAAACAAGCCATCTCTACTTTCAGAACCACACACACTGACACAGAACACAAGCTGCTCATCTAGCCCCAAGGTCTGCAGAGAACACGTTCTCCCTCTGAACGGGACCTGTCTAAAATGACATGACCACCGGGCCAGCGGCTTTGTGTACCAATGCATGTGCTTTCTTAGAAGTTCCAACTGTTGTTCCTGCCCAGGTGAACTTTTTAGCTTAAAAAGGGGGAAAACCTATATAGCTCCTCTCAACAGTGACTTCTTGCTCAACCTATCTGTCACAGTAACAATTAATACTCACTAAAGGAGAATACTCTAAGACTGGGGGAGGGAGAGAAAGGAAAAGAGACAAATACCAACCCACCTCCAATGAGATGCTTAAATCCAAACCCATTCATCTCCCACTGGCCCATGTTTAAAGGTCACAGAGAGGTTAATGATGAGCGGAGGAATTTCAAGATGTAAATAGCCCACTGGAGAGGCTGTCTGCTTCAGCCCAACTGAGGGTGTGTTTGTAATACTTCACCCCATTTCAGAAGCAGCCAGGCCAGCTTCCACTCCCCCCCCCCGCCCCCCAGCCCTTCGGCTCGGAGGCTGGGCGCTGGAATGAAGGGGCACCCGGGATGGACATACCTCCCCCAGGGTCGGAAGGACACACTTACCCAGTGGCTTGTACTCGTCACGAGGAGACAGCCGAGAGTAGGGGGGTGGTGGTGATTCTGGAAGACAGGAGACAGCATGTCACTGCCAGGGTGGGAAAGGTCACACTGGGATTCTTCTACAAGATTATTGATTATTGATTCCCTCCTAAAATAAACCCAGCTCACAGGAAACCCTCCTTTTCTCCCATCACCTCTGCTACCCAAATCCACTGGAACATCACTGCTCAGCAGTAAGGCCCAGGTATAGGGTCCAGACCTGGGGTCAATCCCTGCTCTGCCACCTTTGGCTGTTCAACCTTGGGCAGGTTACTTTACTTCTCTGAGCCTGTTTCCTCAGCTCTAAAATGGTGACACTAGCCCTGGCCAGTGTGGCTCAGTTGGTTAGACATGGTCCTGTGCACCAAAAGGTTGCTGGTTCATTTCCCAGTCAGGGCACGTGGCCAGGTTGCAGGCTCGATCCCCAGTAGGAGGCATGCAGGAGGCAGCCAATCAATGTTTCTCTCTCCCTCTACCTTCCCCTTTCTCTTAAAAAAAAAAAATCAATAAAAAAACACTTCTTAAGAATAAAAATAAATAAAATGGTGACAATAATCATATGGACCTCCCAGGTTTGCCAGGTGGGTGAAAGAAGATAATGTATATAAAATGCTTAGTACAGCTCTTGGTACTATGGAAAAATACCTCCACAAACACTTAACAGTTATTATTGTAATGAGAAACACAGGTGCAGAGAAAAGCCAGAGCCAGGGTTGCGTGATAAAATACCAGATGCTCAGGTAAATTTGAATTTTGGATTTCCGTGGCATAGCTTTTGGTATAAGTATGTCCCTCGCAATATTTGGGACATACTTATACTAAAAAGGTATGTGTTGTTTACCTGAAATTCAAACTTAACTGACAGTCTGTATTTTTATTTGCTAAATTTGGCAACTCTAATCAGAATTGAGTCTGAGTGCAGAGACTCAGACATAGAAGCTCATTTCCCAGCAAGCTGCATCAGAAGTAGCATTCTTTGGGGCAAGGAGGAGGGCAAGATTGGCTGGGACCCGAGAAGCCAAACCCAGCCACCTAGATGTGAGACCTTACACCAGTCCCTGCCAGCCCTCGGCCGCAGTGCCCCCACTCTGCAAAGGGGTGGGACACAAGCTCTCTACTGCCTTCCAGCTCAGACCCTGTGTGATTCCTTATTGTCTACGGTATTTTCCTTTTGGTTTCCTTTCATTTGCCTAAAATACTCCTCCTTAAAAACATATACTTTGTCTTCAGAAGAATTCCTTAGCCTCTTGCTTTAGGGGAAGTAACAATTTGCTAAACTAAGTAACAATTTGCATGAATGAAATGACCCTTCATTTTCCCTAAATGAAGCTAAACACCATCAAATCGCAAACGAAAACAAACTCTCAGTGGTAGTAAAGTGGTAATAACTATTATTAGGCAGGTATCAGTAATGACACAAGGGGTAATAAGTGTTTTTCGTAATTATAATAAGGCACAATTAGCTGTAGGAGCATTTGTTTTGCTCCATACACCCTATGCAGCTTCAGCTCTTCCCCACCCTGGCTTTTCCAGCCAGAAATTATTTCAACAAAGTGAAGGCTCTGAGGTCTAGAAACAGGGCATCTTTTGTGGACAGTATTTAGGGAGAAGGAAAAGTGAATCATGGAGTAGCTACTGGGAGAGAAGCAAACATTTGCTGAGAGCCTACCCTGTGCCTCCATGCCAGGCATTTTCAATTTCATTTATTGTATTTTATTCTCTTGGACCTTAGGTACAGAGTTGCTCATCGGGCACTTATTTTTATCTTATCCTTTCACAGAGACAAAATGGTCAATATTCCCATTTTACGGAGGAGAAAACTGACCTGCCCAGTGTGCCCCAGCCAATCATGGTAAAACTAGGATTTGAGCCCAAGCTGACTCTGCTCTCCACCCCAACGAGACAGGTAATCAAAAGGCACCCCATCTTCTACCCCTTCACCCAGCTAAGTCACATCATCCGCACAGAAAGTGCTCAGTAAGCATCTGTGGACTAAGACAACAGTTATGAGGACAATGGTAAAGTTGGGGGCATCAGTGGACAAAGGTGTGGAAAAGGAGGACGTAAGGGCCAAAGTGATCACAGGAGACCCCCACCAGGACTGAAGGAGGGAGTCATTTGCCTTCAGTAGGAGTCACCTCATCTACTGGTCCTCAGGACTTGGGAGGGGCTAGAGACCACACCTGAGTGAGAGCCAGCCTCTCAGGACAAGAGTCAAAACACAGGTAGGGCTAGAGTTCCCCAGGGAAGGAGACTTGAGGCTGGTGCTCCCAGTGTACAGAAGACTGGGGCCTGGGCAGTGGAAGTGACTCCCTCAGGGCCAGATAGGGAGCTGGTTGTACAGCCAGAACCAGAAGCCAGGTCTACTGACCCCCTGACTCAGGCCCTTTCCATGCTACCCCACTAACTTATCAGAAGGACTGCAATTACTGTGTTAGGGTTCCTTTGGCAAAAATCTGAAAGGCTGAGCCCAGGCCACACCAGGTGGGAGGCTCTGTACAGCTGCCCCCCAGAGATGTCCCAAAAGTGAAACTTAGCAGCAGTGGACAGTGGTGGGAGTCCAGCCACTGCCAGTCATCAACCTCAGTGTCTCTTGCAGGAGCCACCTGGGCCTTGAATTGTGACACCCACCACCCATGGCCACACCTGAGGTGGCAGGTTCTAACGACATGAATGAGACAGAAAGCATCTACAAACCTGAAATGTCAGACACACCAGCTGGCAGGGAACGGCAGAGCTCTCGGGAAAGACTTTCCCAGGCCCCCATTTGCACCAGCAAAGCAGTTTGCACAGAACTGTAACAACTGTGGGGACTGGAAGCTAATTACTCACTTTTTTACACACACACACACACACACACACACGGCAAGTGAAAAAGAATGAAGGCCTACAGACTTCACCCCCAGCAGGAGGAATTAGAATGTCAGAGGTTTGCCTTACTCAACTTCTTGGAGTTCACCCAACTCAACTTCTTTTAAAAGACGGGGCAACTGAGATCCAGCAAGATAAAGGACCAGCCCAAGGCCACATAGAAAAGTAGAAGTTACTCTTTCAATTAAACAAAGGGGGAGGCTAGTTGGGGACCAGTATCAAGTTATGTTTTCTTAAAAAATTTAATTATCATTCACACACTCTTAAGACTCACTCTTTTGAAGTATACAACTTAGTGGTTTTTAATATATTCAGAGTTGTGAGACGAACACCACTACCCAACTGTAGTACATCTTCATCACCCCCAAACTCCAAATGCTAGGCAATCAAAATAATCTACTTCCTCTCCATTTCACACAACTGTACCCATGTATGACCTTTGTGTCTTGGCTTGTTTCACTTAGCATTATGTGTTCAAGGTTCATTCATGTTGTAGCGTATCATTCTTTTTTATGGCTGAATGGTATTCCATTGTATGACATTTCATTGGCTATATCACATTTTGTTCATCCATTCATCAGCTAATGGACATTTGGGTTGTTTCCACTTTTGGGCTATTAGGAATAATGCTATGAACAATACTGGGTAACCTTTTCAAAAAATATTTATATTTTTTCATTGATTTCAGAGAGGAAGGGAGAGAGACAGAAACAACACTGACAATAGAGAATCACTGATCAGTTGCCTCCTGCACGCCCCCTACTGGGGATGGAGCCCAAAACCCTGGCATGTGCCCTGACTGGGAATCAAACTGTGACCTCCTGGTTCATAGGACTCAACCACTGAGCCGCACTGGCCAGGCCTGGGTGACCTTTAACTGGCACCTCCACTGCCATATATCCAGGTCCCATGGGTCTGGGAGAATGGAGCTCCAGACATTAAATCAGGTGAGCAAGGTGGGCACTCAAGTCAGACACTTGATATGTAAAACAAAAGGTTAGAATAGAAAGGTGTGAGGTGCCCTCAGACCCTCTGCACCCGCCCTTCTTAGAAGCTTAGTGCTTGTAAAAGTTGTGTTCTTTAAAAATAGTAACTTTAGCCCTGACCGGTTTGGCTCAGCGGATAGAGCGTCGGCCTGCGGACTGAAGGGTCCCGGGTTCGATTCCGGTCAGGGGCATGGACCTGGGTTGCGGGCACATCCCCAGTAGGAGGTGTGAAGGAGGCAGCTGATTGATGTTTCTCTCTCATCGATGTTTCTAACTCTCTATCCCTCTCCCTTCCTCTCTGTAAAAATAAATAAAATATATATATTTTTTAAAAATAGTAACTTTTAGAGTCCTGCAGACCCAAATGAAAGAAATGAACATGGAGGAGGGAGGGAGAGAATGCGAAAGAGAGAAAAGGAGAGGGAGAAGGAGAAAGAGAGGCAGAAAGATCAGAAGCTCCAGTCCCCTCAGACATCCAGCCTCCGGCATCAACTTCAGGAATCTCCTCCAACTTTCTTCAAAAGTGAGAGAGCAGTCAGCCAGGGGCAGCAAGTACCAGGAGACTAACGCTCAACTCAGCTCAGCCCAGCCTGCCTCTGCTTAGTCCCCAGAGGATACCTGGCCTTTTGGGATCTACCTCATTCTAAAGCCAGAAGAGTTCACAGCCTCTCTCTGGGGCTGATAAAGTTTCTGTTTGGGGCACTACTTTCCACCCCCCATCCTTGCAGCTCAGCATCTTGCTTAGGAAAGGCTCCATGACCTCCCTGGGCCTCCCAGCTCCACCTTACCAAGTGGTGGCTGATGGTGGGGAGGTAGCCTCCCAGGGCCTGTCCTCTCCTCCCCCAGAAGCCATAGGCTCAACCCCAAGCCCTAGGGTGGGAGACACAAAAAGGGAGCTCCTGGCACTTTAAGGCCGGTGGAGCCTAATTGCCCAGATTCCCCCGGCAGCCAGATAAACAGCGCAGCCGGCTGGCGCCAGCAAGAGGCAAACTGCACATTATCACCCCTTCCTCACCTCCAAGGAGGAGCTCCAAGGAGCAGGGCGGGCAGGCCAGAGGGGTGGGGCGGGGGCTTGGAAGCCCAACTTGAAATTGATCTCATTTCAAAGGGATAATGCCAGGCCAAATAAAAGGAAAACTTTCTAGCCCATTCTAATTCCTATAGTCCTGGCCTGGGAACCCTGTGTTTTCCTAGGCGGCCTCCTACAGTCATTTAGAAGTTCTCTCTCTCACTCTGTCTCTTTCCCTGGCGCAATTTGGATAATAGTAATTTACTGAATATAATTACAGAAAAAAAAAAGTGGTGAAGCAAAGAGCAGGAGATTTATTCCAAAGTTAATGGATACTTTCGGGAGAAAGGAGCTCTATAAACACAGGTTGGAACTGTGATTAAAGTATTTCTCCACATTTCCGTCCACATAGGCACCAAGCTCAGTGAACTGGCTTTTCCCTGGACAGAAAGACACACAAAAGACACAGAAGAGGGAGGGAGTGCTGGGGATTGACTCCCACGGGGGACGGGGAAGCACCAGAGCTGGGCAGAGGGAACCAACTTTCTGAGACAAGCCATGAGGGAGAGGGCAGGGCAGGGGAGGTAGGCCAGTGTCACCTGAAATCTGCCCGTCAGACCTCAGGGCTTCTGTCTACCCTTACCACTTTACAGATGGGAAGACATCCAAAGAGGAGAACTGACCCCAATGTGCCAAAGGAGGTTACAGATGGAACAGGGTTTGCTCTGAGCAGCGAGGGTCTGCACTGTCCAGAAAGGGACTTCCTGTCACTGAGGATCCGTTTGGATTAGGGGCATTGACGTGACCGGCACCGGGTGGGTGCCCCTCAATTGGCCTGCTGGGTGTTCCAGTGACTCTCTAGCTGTCTGTCTGTCTGTCTGCCCCAGTGCCCCAGCCCTCTCCCCCAGAGCCCTGGAAGGAGCAGTCTCCTTATCAGGACTCGCACGACTGAGCTCCAGCTATGCACCCGCCCAGCTCTGCGAGCCAGGCTGGCGGCCAGCCGGTGGGGGTGGGGTGGGCAGTAAAGGGTTCCCCAGTTCTCAGTCCCAGTCTCCATGCCATTAGGCAGGGGAATGAAGCAACAGGGTCCACCTGGCATATCCTGGAAACTCTTCCATGACCATCAGTCCTCCCAAAAGCCCCCAGGATGGCTTAAAAGGGGGGCCCCTTGGGTTGGAGAAGAGAAAGGAGAATAGACATGGCTCCTGCAATAGTGCCTCCTTCTGGGGGCAGGAAGGGAGTCAAATGCCAGTGCTTACTCTAGAATTAGATGTGGAGAATATTCCTGGAGCCACCCCCACTGACCAGTAGGGACTAGCAGGGTAGGTTACTCATCCAAGGTCAAGTCCTGTTACTGGCCAAGCCGAGCCTAGGACCAAGTCTGTGGTTAAGCACCATCCCACTGCAGTTTGTCCCTCAACGTGTATCTGCCCAAGTCCATCAAACTCAAGTCAACACCCAAGATGACTTCTCAGACAAGGAGTAGGGACAACCCACCAATTGTCCTTGGTAAAGGTGGGTCCTATCTGTTGTCTCCAGCTTTTTCACAACCCCCCTTCCCACCTACACACCTGAGCTTGCCTGGCTGGCATCTTGACTCTCAGCTGCCCCTCTTCTCCCCAACGCCCACCTCCCTTTACCCACTCTCTAAAAGGCCTGCTCCAAGTTAGAGCAAAGGTGCTCCAGGAGGTGGCCCTGTTACATACACACCCCATAGTGCTGATAGTTCACACTCCCTGACCTGGCCCTTCTCCCCCCATCTCCACCCCAACTCCCCTGGAAGACTGTAGTATTTCTTGAGGGCAGGGATCCTACTCATATGTCCACTCTCTCTGCTACTGCATCCAGCATGGTGCCTGGCACAGAATAAGTGCTCAATAAATATTTGCTGGCAGACTGACATGGTGAGAGAGAAAATACCTGCCAGGACTTTCTAAAATAGCAGAGTGGGCCCCACCAATTATCTGCCACTAAACAATAATGACCATTGAGGGACGGGGTGGCCACAGATAGGGCCCCCTTCCCAGAGGCAGAGAGGAGAGGGGCTAGCAGAAGGGAGGAAGCCACTTCCAGGGGATGCTGTGAGAAAGAGGAACAAGGGGCACAGAAAGCCATGGGCCACAGGTCAGGGACAGTCGAAGCTCCTGAATCAGGCCTGGAATGACAACCCATGTGGGGAGCAGGGCTGCCAGGTCAATGCTGCCTTTCACCACCAACCCCCTTCTGTGAACCACCATTGAGGCACCTTCCTTTCCCCTTCAGCCACTACCCCCAAGCACACTCATAGGCCCACCCCTCCCTTTCACGCTGGGAGTCAGGAGACCTGTGGTCTGACCCTCTATGGACCCTCAGGCTGGGTGCTCACTCACTCCAGAGGGACCAGACTGGAGAAACTCGGAGCCCTCCAACATCCAACAGCCTATAACTCTCTGATAGGCACACCCCTGCAGGACCCCCCAAAGCCCCCTAAAATGCATACACCTCAAAGATGCTACAGGTTAAAATGTGTGTTCCTGCAAGCTTCTGGCCTGCTAAGAACCTCCATCTGTCCTCACCTCTGCTAAAGCACCCAGGCATCCTCAGGTAAGCTGGGCTGGGGGTGGTATGTGTGTGCAGGAAGTCCCAGGGAGGGAACAAAGACAGGGAGCACTCCTCAGATGTAATAAAATACCTGGCTTCTTCACCTACTCATAAATGCCCCCAGGACCCTCAACTGGACACAGAATTGAGAATGATGATGATGGAGAGCCCTCACCTTTAACACCCAAGGGATGCTGGGAGCAATCAGGCCAAGAGGGTGGTATCCACCTTGAGAGGGGTTACCCTGAAAAAGCTTTGCTCCAAAGTATACAAAGGAACAAGTGCGACAGTTTACAAACACTTTGACTCAAGCCACGAATTGTCCACACCCAATTTCACAACATATACTTGCACTTGGTGGTAAGAAAGTACAGCTTAGGTATAGGCGTATGCACACAAATGCTACAGCCTGAGCACAGACTGGGGGTAAATGAGGGGCCGCCTCGCAATCTTTGGCTTCTCCTAGGGCCTACCCTCTCCCTGTAAAGTTGGAGCCTGAAGCTACATAAAGAAAACTCCACCGTGACCCTTTTTAAGTTTGCTGGTGCCTTGATGAAGTTGCCATTTGATGAGTGTGCCCAGATCCCCTCCCCGGTAGGACCAGGTTGAGGCGCCTCCACTGAAGCTCCCACCACCCAGGGGCACCCACGGGAGCGGGAGCACCGCAGCTCTGCCCACCCGAGGTGTCCGATATAAAAAGGCCACGGAAGGGGACCGGAGGGGGACCCCGCGCCCAAGCCCGTCCCTCGCCCGGCGCAGCGCGCTCACCTGGCCCGCAGAGCCGGCTGAAGTGGTAGGGGTTGCAGCACACCGTGGGGCCGTCGGCGGCGGCGGCGAAGCTGTGGCAGCCGCACAGGGGCTTCAGCTCCACCGCGTGCTGCAGGTCGGGCCAGCGGAAGAGGCGGCCGAGCAGCAGCTGCGGGGGCGCAGGCTGGCCGCCCAGGCGGAGGTCCGCGCGCGGCACCAGCACGCAGCCACCCGGCACGCCGCCGCGGGACTCCACCGCCTCCAGCAGCGTGTCCAGCGAGCGCTCCTTGAGCCGCTTCAGGAGCGAGTACGTGACCGTCTTGAGTTCCTGCTCCAACAGCAGCAGCCGGGAGCGGGCTTCGCGACTCCGCCCGCCGCCCACCGGCTCCACGGCCGCCCCGGCCAGGGGGTCGCTGGCGTCCCGGGGCGCGCCCGCCGCGTCCCGCTCCGAGAAGAGACAGCAAGTCACCGTCTCGCAGTCACTTTCGGGCAGCCAGCCCGGGCCTCCCGGTTCCGCCACGTCCAGCGGGAAACCGCCAGCGCCGGCCCCCGGCTCCGACATGGGCCTCGGGGGGCCCCCCGCGCGCCGGCGCCTCACCGCGCCCTGGGCGCCTCGCTGTCCCACCGCGTCCCGGGGCCGCCGCGGGGCTACCGGGCGGACTTCCGAGCGGCCGCAGCCTCCGCCTTCTCGTGCCCGCGGGGCCGGCTCAGCTTGGCTGCCCAAGCTCCCATCCTGGTCGCCGCCGCCGCCGCCGCCGCCACCTTCCTCCCGGTCGGGGACCACACGACTTCGCCAAAGTCGCCGCACCAGCCCCGAGCGTTTGGACCTGAACATACGATATCCTTTGGCGCCGGGGGTGGGAGGGAGGCGGTCTCCGGTTACCGCGGGTCCGTTCCCTCAGCGAGGCGCCGGCTGCGCGGGCCGCAGCCCCACATGAAGCACCGCCGCCGGGCGCCGTGCAGACCGCGCACAGCCTGTCGTCGAAGGGGCGCCGCAGGGCTGCAACATGAGGGAGCTCGCCGGGGTGGGCCGGCGGGGAACACGCGCACGCCGAGCCGAAGTCTGCGCCCGGCCAGCGGCTACATGGACCCCGGTGGCCGGGCTGCTCAGCAACTCCAGCCCCGGCGCTTGAGGGGGACCGCAGGCGGCGCGCCGCCAAAAAGTCCCCGCATGGGCCGGCGAGCCTTCAAAAGTTGCGCGGCTGGCCCATGAGCACAAAGCGCTCGCGCCGAGCCCCCTAAATGTGCCTGGGAAGTCCTGCCTGTAAAACCCAAGCGCTTAACTGCATGGGCTTTTCCTGCAGGATCCGAAAGGCAGGCTTGTTGATACTCTGAGTTTTCGTCTTACTCCCTGCAAAAAGGAAAAAAAAAAATGGAAGAAAAAGAAACCCCAAACAAACCCCAAATCCCTGGAATTGCATGCACGAAAGGCCAACTCCGTCTCAGGTCCCAGGCGCTAGATGCACTTAGAGCGAGTTTCTCCCAAACGCGAGTGTCAACACATGAGTGGAAACTGTAAAAATCCCAAAGAGCTGCTGGGAATCCTTAATGAAAAATGCAATCCGGCGAGGCAGAGGTCGCAGCCCACCCCACACGGCGCTCGGACGCCCCGGGCGCCGCGGCTGCAGAGGTCGCTCCCCCTCCCCCCTCCACAAAAAGTGCCTCCCGGTGGCCCCGCGGTCCCGGCGAAGTCCAGCGAGGCAGCGCCCGGCGGCTCTTTCTCTCGGCTCGGCTCCCTCGCTCGCTCCCCCGCTCGGCTCGCTCTCTCTCTCTTTTTTGTTCTCCTCAAACGCACACTGAGGGCCCCCGGAGGAGCGCCGCGGAGTCATTGGCTGCCTCCCATCATATGCCAGTCTAGACACTTTGGCGGCTCCGCGGCGCTGATTGTTGCGCAAACAAGGTTTCAAGTTTCTTAACTCTTAAAGGAGAACACGTCCCTTTGCAGGGCCCGCGGCTCCGAGGGGCCGGCTCCCGGGGCGGGCCGAACCCCGGCCCCCGCCCCGTGCTCGCCCCGGCACCCCCGCCCGGGCCGGACTGCCCCCACCGCCCGCTCTCGGGCTCGCGTTGCGCCGCGGGCACGGATGCGAGCGAGCACACGCGCGCGCGCACACACGACACACGGTTACACAAACCCCGGGCGGGTGGCGCGAGGGCTCCACGAACCCACCGAGTCTCGGACGCAAACGGGGCGCCTTGCCTATCTCTGGCTGGGGCACAAACTTACAAACACACTGCACGTTAGAGTTGATGCAAACTCCATCACAGGGAAAGCTAATAAAAATGGGTGTGCGTGTGAGCCTTACTGGCTTGCGTCTCTTAGGAACAGGGGGTGCTGGTTTGGTGGGGTGCTGGGATCTTCCGTGATGGCCGAGGTCTCCACACCTCCCGAGCCAAATCAGGGGTCGCTGTACCGGGCCAAACGGGCTGCCGTGGGACGCTTCGCACGCAGGGGCCCGAGGTAAGGAGTTGCTGAGGGTGGGGTAGAGGCGGGAGCGTCTGCGCCGGCCGAGCTCCTCTCGGTCGCCACAGCCCTCCCTCGGAGCCAGCGCTCCCGGGCCCCCGCAGGGCTGATGCTTCCTCCTCCCCCTTCCCCAGTTTCCTCTCTGCACCGCAGAGAGGGGTGTGGGTAGAGGTCGTGCTTTCTCCAGCGACATTTCACCACTGAAATGGGGACGGGGTCCTGCAGGGTCAGGGACGAGCTTGGGGGCGCGGCGGCGGCTGCGGGCCCGGCGTGGGAAGGGTTAAGGCCGCTCCAAGGCCCTGGAGCCGGCGCGGCGGGGTACCTCCTCGGGCGCGCTCGCTCGTCCGTGGGTGGCAAAAGTTCAAGCTTGTAAAGTCCCGATTGGTCCCGCGCGGAGGGAAAAAAGGCCTGGTCCCCCCTCCCCCTCCGGGCGCGGCGCCGATTGGCCCGACCGCGGGGCGGGCACCGCCCTCTCTCCGGAGCACGGCGGCCCCGCCCCCGGCACGGCGCCCCGCCCCTTTCCGGGCAGGAGCCGGAGGCCGGCCCCTCACTGAATGAAAGAAATTCCGCTACTCCCATTGGCCCGGGGCTGGGCGCCTTCGGGGGCTCCCGCTTGGGGGTTTCCCTTCCGGGTGCCCACGCGTCGAGCTGGCCCAGCGAGTATGCGTCCGTGCGAGCACCCGACCCGGCGCCTGTGAACACTGGGGGAGGAGGGGGACTTGCAGGAAGGGCTCAGAGCCTTTTGGCGAGCTTTACCTGGAGCCAGGTACTTTTCGCACCGCGCTCCCTGGCAGAGGCAGTTGCTCTCCCGAATGGAGCACGGGACTGAGAGGCTCCCCACCCTCATCCCCTACTGCTTTGGCCAAATCAAAATTGTTGTCTTGGCCTCAATTTCTTGTTTGTAAAATGGGTACGAAGCCTGCCTTGCGTTCTTCACAGACACATACAGATCCCATAGGAGATAGTGCATTTTAAGTACACAAATCGCAAGTGATCGGCGGGATGAATTTTTCACAAGTGAACACAATACCTGTGTAACCAGTACCCAGGAGACAAGGTAATGGGAAGGGGGGCACACCCCAGAAGCCCCTTTAAGTCACTTCCTGTCCTCAGGGAAATTAATGCATCTTAAAATACAAGGAGAAACTCAATGTAACGTAAAGTATTTTTCTTATCAGGGTATTTGCTGTTTTGGCTGTTGATTACAATAATAATAGCTCATTGTATAGACTCATTACTATGGGCAAGGCGATGTTGGAAACATTACAAAGATTTTAGTCATTTAATTCTCACAACAACCCTGATTAGGTACTATTATCTCTATTTTACTGATGAGGAAACTGAGGCACAGGAACTTGCCCTTTCAATTTGCTGTTGAAATGAAAATAGTGTTGAGGGTGCTAAAATACTAAAACAGAAGGGCATAATAAACTAGTATGGATGTTCACCCCTAACAGCTAGAAGGAGGCACATCCTTCGGGGCAGTGATTTTTCATAATGTGATCCATTTGGCCTGTTGAATCAGTGCTATGGGGTAAAGGCCCCCGACTCCATACAACACAACTTTGGAGGTAAGTATAATTGTTACCACCGGTTTTCAGATAAGAACACTGAGGCACAAAGGCATTAAGTAACTTGCCCAAGCTTGTAGTTAGTGGCAGAGGCGTAATTTGAACCCAGCCAGTTTGGGGAAAGGGTATGTGTGTGCGTAATGAGAAGCAAAGGAAATGGGACAGCAGGCAGGAGATGGGCGATCAGCTTCCACAGATGCTCAGCACCTACCGCTGGGGGCAAATCTGAACTGTGGCTCTTCCCCCTCCATCCCCGTAGCTCCCTGGGATACTATGGCATTTCTTTTTGCAGGGTTCCTGAGGGACTGCTCTGAGGGATGTCAGGTGGAGTCTGAAGCAGTTGGCCTTCCTGGGAGAGCAGCCTTCTCCCCTGGGCAGTAACTCGGATCAAGTATGGCTTCAGCTCTTGCTCACCCAGAGATGTGGTATTGGGGGGTGGGGTGCCAGCCGGATGAGCCTGAAGAGTGCTGAACCCAGAGTCATCCAGGCCTAAGTTCAGTACTGAGCCTACTTAAGCTATCGCAGCTCTGAAGCCTTGGGGTACTCCTCTGTGACATGAGAATAGGAATCATGCTGGAGGTGGTTACCACAATTAGGACAGCCTGACAGGAAGACTGCCTCTGAGGGGAGATAGTATCAGGAAGGGAAGAGCAGTGGCAGTGAGTCCAAGGTCTTTGGATTCCCAGGGCCCATCCAGCCTAGCGCAACCTGCATTATGACCACTAGAGGGTGTGTGCAGCAGGGTCCCAGAAGGGCAGGGCCTCTGACCTCCAGCTTAACAGCACCCTCCTAGGGAACAAGCTCCAATTGCCTGGGGGTGTAGGAGAGGTGGAAGGTGGGGTCCCAGCTGCTGCTCCTCAGGTGCCTGTAGCAAGTCACTGACAAAGTAAATCACAGAGAAGTAACTCTATCCCCTCAGATTCAAATCCGCACCCTTCCCATTATTCCAGTCCTCCCCCTCCCCCCCCCCCCCCAAAAGCATCCTGTGCTTCCCCTTTACAGGGCTTCTTGCAATTCAGAACCATACAACTCCTTGTCATTCTCCTCTGCCTCTAGAGAGGAAGACCCGAGAGATGCTGGAACTATCAGGCACAGGCCTCCCACAGCAGCGCGAAGGAAGTAGAGTCAGAAGCGGGCCATTTGATGCCATTCTGCTGTACCCACAAAGAAGCCAACTCACACAAGACAGCACCTGACCTATTCCCCCCGCCCCAGTCACTAGCACAGAGCCTGCCACATAGTGGGCACTCAGTAAATATTGGTTGTGTGGTTAATTGAAATCCCTCACTTCACCAAGCTCCATGCTCATTATCATCCTGTACCGAACACTTACATGCACTATCTCATCAAATCCCCCCATCAACATAATGAAGAATTTATTCTTACTAGACTAGATTTTAGAGAAGGAAACAGAGAAGTTAAGGAATTCATCTCTGGTCACACAGCCAATAGTTGGCAGAGCTGGTACTTGAACCCAGGGCTGCTTGAGGTAAGTGTGCATCTTCTTATTGCCTGTTCCTAGAAAAGAAAATATGATTCTTTGTCCTTGGGAAGTTTCCACTTTAGCTGGAAAGATATAAGGCATGACACAGAAACAAGGCAGAACTTACTTACTTGGTGGTGGGAAGAGGCGGGCTCTAGGGGCCACCGGTTATGAACTGAGGTATCACAGAGGGAGTCGGAGCCACCTCTCACTACAGTCAAATGGATAGGCAGGGAGACTGATTCATCCTAACCCACTTTACAGTAGACGGGTGAATAAACCAGGGCCCGACTCATTACTTCTTCTGGGAAATAACTATAGCCCCAACTAAGTCGGCCTCTTTGGAAGGTAAATCTACTTGGCCAACATGGCCCAAAATGGGGGAATTGGGAGACCCTTGGGTGGTAGACTACCCTTCTGAGGCTTTGGTGAATGCTATGGACTCTCTCACTCTCTCTTGAAAAATGCATACGTGCATGAATGGAACTTTACGTTCATTCACTCAGCAAATACTTACTGAGCTCCTATTGTATGACAGGCTGTGTTCTAGGTGCTAGGAATCCTGCAGTCAGCAAAACACAAAAATCCCTGAGCTCCAGGGGGTCTCATGGGAGGACAGACAAACCATAAACAAAGTAATCAGGTATAAAGTGTTTGGGAAGGCAAAGGTGCCAAGATCGGAATACAGCAGAGAGGGGGAGAGAGGAATTTAGGAGGGTATGTGTGGTTCAGGGAAAGTGGGCAGGGAATGCTTCCCTGAGAAGGTGGCATTTGAGCAAGGTCTTGACAGTGATGGGTGAATCACTATGACACTATCTGGAGAAAAAATGTTCCAGGCACAGAGAACAGCAAGGGTGCTGAGGTGGGAGCATGCCCACGTTCCAAAACTAACAAAGATGTGATGAGATGGGAAAAATACTGGAGGGCAGATAATAGGTTCATACTGGACATTGTTGGGTCTTTGGCTTGTCCTCTGAGTGGGCTGGGGAGCCCCTGAAGGTTCCTGGCCTGGGGCATGATCATCTTTGTTTTAATTGGCTCCCTCTAGTGGTCGCGTGAAGAATAGATCGCAGAGGGCCAGTGGAGCAGGGCCTTGGTAGGAAGGAGGCTGTTGCTGTGGTCCATGCGGGGCCCTGCTGGGTTGGGGAGAAGTGAACGTATTTGAAGACAGAACCAGCATGATTTGCTGTTGCATATTGAGAGTGTGAGAGAACATCTGAACAGTATGCACATGTTATTGATGCTTATTTACTTAATTTTTAAAATCAACTCACCATATGTATTTAGCCTTATCATAAGCAGTGATCTCCATGAAGTCACAAATGTGCTAGTTATACTTATCACTTTAAAATAAATATGTATTTATCTTTGCATCACCTGAAATTATCCTAGGAACCGCCAGGATGCATGAAATGTTGGGAATACTGGTTCAACCAATCCCTAACTAATCTCACCCACTTTTAGGCTTG